ATGGTTTAAGCTTTAAGTTTGAAGAGTTGACTAAGTTTGACTTTTTGGTATTTGATCTCGGATTGAAGTTTTGATGGTTCTGTTAGCTTCGTTGGATGATTTTGGACTTAGGAGCATGTGCAGATTGTCATTTGGAGGTCCGTAGTTAAATTTGGCTTGAAATGGCAAAAGTTGAATTTTTGGAAAGTTTGACCGGGAGTGGACTTTTTGATATCGGATTCGGATTGTGGTTCCGGGAATTGGTAAAGCCTCGTTATGTCATTTGGGACTTGTGTGCAAATTTGGATTCATTCCGAGTTGGTTTTCTATGTTACCGCACGAGTTATGGAAGTTGAAAAATTCAAGTTCATCAACATCGAATTGAGGTGCGATTCGTCGTTTCGATATTGTTATGTGTGATTTGAGGCCTCGAGTAGGCTGTGTTATGTTATGGGACTCGTTGGTGTATTTGGACGGGGTCCAGAGGGGCTCGCATGAGTTTCAGACGATGTTCGGAGCATTTTTGAAATTTTGGCTAAGGCAGGTTTTTGAACAGTCCTGGTATGACCACACCTGCGAAATTTTAGGCGCAGGTGCTACGTCGCACAAGCGAGCCAGAGGCCACAGAAGCTGCATAGCAGGATCAGGGCAGTGTCACAGGTGTGAGGCTATTTTTTCGCACCTAAATGATCGCAGAAGCGGATTTTCTGCCGCAGGTGCGAGGGAAGGCTACCAATGCTCTTCCACAGGACCGAGATTTTTAACGCACGTGCGAGTCCGCAGAAGCGGATATTTGGTTCGCAGATGCGAAGATGCTGGGCATAAGCTATAAAATCAAGGTTTTGGTTCTTTTGTCATATTTTGAGATGTGGGACTCAGATTGAGGTAATTTTTGGAGCAATTTCATCACAACTATTGGGGTAAGTATTCTACACTTTGTTTTGATCTTATTTCATGAGTCTATCTTCATTTTTGGCAATTGATAGATGAATTTGAAAGAGAAATTGGGAGTTTTAGCCTACAATTTCATAATGTGAAAATTTGAGTTTTGAACATCGATTCAGAGTCGGATTTGAGTGAAACTAGTATGGTTGGACTCGTAATTGAATGGGTTATCAAATTTTGTGAGTTTTGTCGGGTTCCGCGGCACGGTCCCAGGGGGGAAGTTTTAACCGATTTTGGACTTTTGATTAAGGAATCGACCTATATCATTTAAAATTATTTCCTTCGGCTTTATTTGATGTAGTTGAGTTGCTTTTGGCTAGTTTTGAGTCGTTCGGAGATCGGTACGTGCAAGATGGCATTTTTAGAGCATCGCTTAGCTTGTTTGGTATTAGAATTGGCTTGTTCGAGGCAAGTAACACTTCTAAACTTGATGCTGAGGGTATGAATATCCCGAATTACGTGATATGTGATTGGTGTTGAGGTGACGCACATGCTAGATGACAGGCGTGTGGGCGTGCATCGTGTGAATTGTGACTCTGTTATTTTTGTGGTACTGTGTAGTTACCTGATCTTATCCGTAACCATGAAATTTCTACGTATTTGAGCTATTGAGTTGCGATCCATGTTAGAAACCATGTCTAGGCTACATGTTTATCCTGTTGGGGCTCATTGAGGTTATTTCTGTTGTTGAGTTATCTGCTTTCATTGCTTTATATACTTAGTCATACACATTCACATGCATATCATATCTCAGTCTCTGTTACCATTTATTGCATATCATATCATCATTTTGGGCTAGTTTCATGGTATTGTGCGCCCGAGAGACCGGAGAGGTTGATGACTTAGTGAGGCCGAGAGCCTGAGTGTGAGTGAAATTATGGGATCGGGCTGCACGCCGCGGCATGTTATATTGATTACATATATGAATCGGGATACACGCCGCAGCATGTTATATTAATTACATATATGGGATCGGGTTGCACGCCGCAACGATTATATTGATTTATGATAGCGTTGGGGCTGAAGGAGCCCCACCGGAGTTTGCACACACCCCGGTGAGCGTGATTGATTATATTGATGGATGCATTTATATACATAGGAATGGATCTTCCCCACGGGCTGGATTTGGCCCTACTCAGTACTGAGTGACTGTTGGTCAGTTGATATATATATTCCGGGATGGATCTTCCCTGGGCCGGATTGGACATATACAATACTGAGTGATTGAGCATGATGAGTGAAAAGTGTGAGACAGTGAGATTGAGTACTCTGAGAATGTGAGTACATGAGTTCATCTTTGAGATACATGGCATTGACATGCACACATGACATACAGGCACAAAGATGCATTTTTTATCTCATGTTGTACGGTATCACGTCATTCATGACTTCTCGCACATATTGATATATGGGCATAGAGAGGTATTTCGCACTTGCTATCTCGAAAGAAAATGAAACATCTTATTTATTGTGGAAAGGATTTCTGGAAAAATTTTACAGTTTTCAACTTACTCATATTTTCGATGATTTCGGTAAAGGATTTGTGTTTTCACTAATATACTTGAAAAGAGGAACTATTTTTCGGGAAATTATGAAAAAGCAAAGCATTTTATCTCTGGGTTACTTCTTTTATTACTTGCTTTGTGTTGTTATGAACTGTTATATTCTATTGGATGTTGGACCCGACCTTTATTCCAGCTCGTCACTACTTTCAACCTAAGGTTAGGTTTGTTACCTATTGAGTACATGGGGTCGGTTGTACTCATACTACACTTTTGCACCTTGCGTGCAGATGTTGGATGCCGATGTTGTTGTGTTCGATAGGAGCTGGATTTGAAGATGTACCCGCGTTCCGGTTGTAGCTGCCTCTTGTTCATGGTAGCCTTAGATTCATAAAACTCTGTTTATGTACTTTTCAGATAGATGATGTATTTACTTCGTACCAGTTTTGTAAACTCTATTCCTAGAAGGTCATGATTTGTACTACCAGTCCTTGGGGAATGCATCAGATTCAGATATTTCTTTACTTAATTGCTTTATTAAATTGTTATTGCACTGGTTAGTTGTTAAATTGGATTACGTAGTGGGTTGGGTTAGGTGTCATCACGACTAGCTGGATTTTGGGTCGTGACAAACATGTATTAGTTTGTAAATTCCAACAAAATGAAAAAAAAAAAAAAAAAACCCTTCTCTTTTTTAGAAGTAATGAGCAAGTTTAAACGTAATATTCTCAAGTAATGAGCAAGTTTTTAGTAGTCCAAATGTGCATAAAAATACGTTGACTAAAAAATCTTTGGCATACGGGATATATCGAAGACGCGCATGCTCTATATCAAGAAGAATTTCAGATGGAGCACAAACTAACTCCCTTGGATGTTCAAGAGGTACCAGAAGGTGTTTCCATGATTTTTAAATTTTAATCGAACTAAAAGATAGGTTCATGAAGGAAAAATTATTTCGCTATAAATCTCTAAAAACTCTCTACAGTTTTCACAAATTTCAGTATATAAAATAAGCTATCAATACCCTTATTTATAATAGTACGAAACATACTCCAACTAGAAATATAAAAGCCTATTCCTATCTAATTTAACTACAAATCTTCTTTAGACATGAATTAAATAAATCAAATCCTAAATAATTAAGGTTTTCTACTTTAACTTTGAATTAGTTTTCCATCATTCTCCCGTAATTCAAAGTTGTATGCGTCTAACTTTTTAGTTGTTGTTGTTGTTCTTGTTGTTGTTGTATTGGAGAATTTCTCTCCAACTTTCACTTTTGTTGAAGCACATGTCTACAACCCTCGTTGATGCACTTTATCACCAACACACAATTTTTATTGAAGCACATGTCTTCAACTTTCAATTTATTTTTTTTACTTCTCTTCAATTTCGTTAGAAAATTTTATTCTTCTTTAGCTATTTGCCAGAGGCGGTTCAACGAAATTGGTGGCCTAAAGTTGAATGTTAAGAAGACGCCCAAAATTTATTTAACAAAATTGTATATATTTATGATTTATTTTCGTTTTTGTTATGTAATAATAGTCTTATGGACCGTCTTGTACGTATTTTGTCCCTTCACTCAGTTACTTGCTAGCTTCCACCATTGAAGATATCTAATAACTCTACTCACCAAGGTTTCAAATTTTTTTTATAAGAAATATCTGCGGTTAAAAAAATATTTTTATAAGTTCCCAACATCTAATGATCGTAATTTTGTACTACTAAAGTAGATTTTTAAAATAATTTTATACATTTGAAATAGTTCAAATTTATTTGAATTAAAAAACATGACTTGATCTACTCTTTATAAGAAATAATTTATTTTAAAAGATATTACAAGAGATTTTGTTTTTAATTTACCATGATACCCCTATTAATTGATGCATATGTTTAATGGTTTTGAGAAAATGATTTGAAATGAATAATTATGATATGGGTATAACAGGAAAAAAAATTATCTTCTTTTGATATGCTAAAAATGACAAGTAAAAGTGAAAATCTATATTTAGAATACTGGACAAGTAAAAATGAAAGGAGGGAGTACTTCCAAAGGAAGTCCTAAATTGTTTGGTTGTAAAAATAAAATCAATTTTGTTTTCTGTTGCGTATTATATTTGATTAACTTGTTGATTTCCAAATTAAATTTTATTTTATCATTGGGTCAAATAATCGGTTGTTTGGGTAAGTTTTAAAGTACCCAACTATGATTTAGAGAAATAACATTCTTATTTTCTCAAGCTATAAAAAAACTCAATTTAATTATTTATTGGGGTAAAAGTGAAGTTCGTTTTTGTAAAGTTTCTGACTGCAATTTTTTTTGTTCTTTCTATATTTGAGAGTAATATTTATTTTAAACTAACAAGGATTTTTTTCTTCTTTATTTAATCATGCAAAACATGCATTATTCCTTTAATTTTCGTGATGTATTCGAATTTTCACCTATTGTAGCAATTGAACTAAAAAATATGCAAATCCAAAATACCGCTCTTTTGCACAGAGATACATAAAAATGTGAGTTAAATAAGAAAAATAATCTAAAAAGAAGAAAACAATAGAGTAAAAGTTCAATCTTACATTCAAGCGAGAGGAAAACTAGTCTTCACTTGCTGTTCTTCTTCGAATGGAACTATCCAGCAGCAAAAACAAAACCGAAAGTTAACCAAAATATAGAAAAAAACTTTAAGTGAGCAATTTCAAGATCTAGAGGGTGTTTGGCTAATAAATACTTTTTGGCTTATTTACGCGTTTGGTAAACACCCAAAGTGTTTATAAGCCAAGTACTTATAAGCTAAAATTAGCCATAAGTCATGGCTTTTCGGCTTATAAGCACTTTTAGTTTGACCAACACTTTTACTAATTTATCCTTAATAATATTTTCTAATTCACAAATACTTTTCCCAAAATAAATTTCTTGACTTTCTCTTCATTCCATATTTGTTGTTAATTATTTTTTTATAAAGAATTTTTTAATTTATAATCTTTTTTTAAAAAAATCAACGGTATTTTAGACATTTTAATAAGAGAATAGCTTATCAGCATTTTTTATCAAACACATCAAATGCTTATTATCAATTTCAGCACTTTTATCCAAACACGTAAATACTTATTTGAAAAATCAGTTTCAGCACTTAAAAAAACTTGTCAGCACTTCAAGCTTATCAGCCGTTTACAATCACCTAATCCAAACGGGCTCCTAGTGGGTGAATTTTGGAAAGAGAGGAGACTCGTAATCACAGCTTAAACAAGACATAAAAATGTGAATTCCTGTAAAGGATTAGAAGAGAAATAGCTGAAAAAATAAAAAGAAAGCGGAGATAAAAAAAAGAAACCTCACCTTCTGTTATTGAGAGAGACAACAGAGAGATTAGTTGCCCCAAGGCTTAATTTGATGATTTTGGATTTAGAGAAATCGAAAATGAGAAAAGAACAGGATGGAAGATGGTAGACTTCAGATATAAACGAAGTAGTTGTTTTGGGAATATATAAAGCAAGGGCGGAGGGAGAGTAGAACATACGGGTCCGGCCGAACTCAGTAGTTTTGGTTCAAATCATGTATTTGTCTTAAGAAATTCATTAAACATATATAAATTATTAATTTAGAACCCAGTAACTTAAAAAATTTAGAATACCAAACCTATAAGTTTCAAATCCTGTCTCTGCTACTGATATAAATTGAATATATTCCCATGCATGTTATGAATCTTGCAGTTAATTAACTAATTAGACAAACTTAAGTTCAGATCACAACTATATGCACCTCACATGATTATCCGACTTAAGTGGAGTATACACTCCACTTTAATTGAAGGTTATATTCCCTACGTAATAAAAAAATTCAATTAAAAAAAAAAAAAAGTGGAGTATACAGCTAGCTCAAATTGTATAATACTTCACATTTTTCTGGAAAAAAAAATATATTACTTGCGTCAAAAATGATTGTCCAGTTTTACTTCCCAAAAGTTAAATAGAATAGTTTTAATAGATTGATGAGTGATGACTCATTCAACGTTTGTTTTTAACATATGGGAAGGGAGAGGAAATGGAAGGAAATTAATAAAGTGGAAAATTGAATTCTCACTAATATGATGAAAATTTAAGTAGTCGGTCACATTGTCAAATTATTCTTCATTTTAAAAAAACTGACTTTGTAATAAATAGGGATCACTTATTTAAGATCACCAATCAATGATATTATTTACTAATGCCCTAGCTCTAACTTAATCAAAGAGTACTTGCTTGAACAGGTCAATGAGCGATTAAGAAGGCCTATGGCCTAGGCTGTGATAAAAACAAAAAAATGAAAATAAAACTTGACAAAAGCAAAATGGAAAACGACTGTCTAAGAGCCCGTTTGGCTTAGCTGATTTAGAGTAGCTGATAAGCATTAGGTGCTGAAAAGTATTTTTAAGTGTTGAAGCTGGTTTAAAAAATAAGCAGTTACGTGTTTGGATAAAAGTGCTGAAATTAATAATAAGCAGCTGAAGAACTAGGTATACGAAGAGTTTTGTTTTAAAAAGAAGTAATTTAGGGATAGAATAGTAAATATTTTGGTCAAACCTAAAGTACTTATAAGCTGAATTTGATAAGTTGGGGGAGACCAACTTATGACTTTTGGCTTATTTTTGGCTTAGAAGCACTTAACTTATAAGTATTTTTAATTTTACCAAACACGTAGATAAGCCAAAAAGTATTTATAAGCCAGTTTGACCAACTTATAAGCTTAGCCAAACACCCTCTAAGTATGCGTTTGGACATAAAAATTGTAATTTTTGAAAGAAAAAAAAATATTATTTGAAATTAAGTTGAAAATAATATTTGAAATTTGAAATTTGAAATTATGTTTGGACATGTATTTCACTTGAAATAATGTTATAGTTTTGTGAGTGGGAAAAAAAATGATATTTTGAATTTGAAAAACTCATTTTCGAAATTTTTTCAAAAACTTGCAAAATTTTATGGACAAAAACGGCCTTAAGTATTTTGAACCCTGCACCCCTCCCCCGTCTCTAAACTTCTCTTACTTTATATGTTTATCAGTTTAATTTTTAATCATCACTCGGAAAGAAAGTATTTTTAGTGGTCTTGAGAGGGAGGGAGGGGCGGTTCTTTTTATTTTAATAAAAAATCTTTTTTACAACATATAAAGTTTCTTTTTATATACGTTTTGGGGTCCAACTAATCTGTATTTACGCCAAAAGATTTTACTTTAGAAGTAAAATGCTCCCTACCAAAGGAACTCTCATCGTTACTTTCACAGTTTTGGTGATTTTATAACCTCAAATTATAGATTACATTAGGATGACTCGCATTAGATGAAAAAAGAAAACCTTAAAAGGCTAAGGAGAAAAACTTCGTTTCCTTTTACCACTGTTTTACACTTCAATTACATTTGTTCCATCCTCAAGAAGTTTTCACCTCCGATATTCGTTTTTACAGATCCATATACCAACAATGTAATATTGATACTGGAATTTTGTTTCAGTCCTTCAGGTTATTAAGAGGCAAATTACATTAAAAACTTAGAATTTCTCATAAATCTCTCATATTGGTCAACTAATACTGATTATATACAAAGAAACCAAATTAACGTGGATCAGCCATCGAAAAATTGTTTTCCACTTGTAGTTTTTTTATGGGTGCCAATGGCCGATTTAGAGTTAATGAATTGTTGGTGGTGCTTGAATAATAAGATTATGGTAAGACTTGGCTTTAAACAATTCTGAATAATAGTCAACTTAAGGTAATTTCTTCTAGATCTAAACATAAGAAAAGATAAGAGACATTGAATTTGCACACTGACCTAGTTGACCTTTGAGTACTATTCAAATTTAACTCGAGTCACTACAGAAAAATTAAAACCGTTCTTAAGTTTGGGCCTTAGATAAAATGGTCCCTATTTTATGAGATGAGCAATAATAGGCCCTTAGTATGCAAAAGTGGTGCATCTTTGGTCCAAGATAACAAAAACGTGTAAAACTAGATAGGTGCAAAAAAGTTACATGAATGAATAGTATATACAATTGGAGTAGTTAAATTCTTTCGCGAAGAGAGTGTCAATGCTATGTGCACCGATCCACACATTGTAAAGTTATGCACTTAAACTGTTCTTACTATATACTGGTACATTTCTTAAATTTACTCTGAAGAAGAGAAGAAAAAAATGTCATTCCACAAAACGTTCAGATACAGTTGAACTTAGAGCCCGTTTGGATTGGCTTAAAAAAATAGCTTTTCAGCAGAAATAGCTTTTAAGCCAAAAAGCAGTAAGCCCATTTGGATTGGCTTAAAAAAAGTAGCTTTTCAGCATAAATAACTTTTAAGCCAAAAAGCAGTAAGTTGGGATTGGCCAGCTTATTGCTTTTGGCTTGTTTTAAACAGTTTTTAACTTATTTTAAGTACTTTTTGACTTTGCCAAACACTGAAAAAAGCTAAAAAGAGCTTAAAAACTGATTAGACCAGCTTAAAAGTCAATCCAAACACCCTCTTCATTCAGTTGCTACCATAGGAGAACTTAGGAAGGATATATGAGAATCATGCATGAAACTTTTATACTTAGCCAAAATGCTGCTTAAGTGTGTAATAATGTTGAGCATATGCAGTTGAACTTATTCAGTATGCAAGACAAAAGTTGCAACAAATTATTTTCCATATCAGACAGAACAAAGAGGTGTTGAAGTACTGGCTTACCAAGTAGGAGGTGTGTTGGATATAAGAACTTGGAGACTGTCACATCCAGTGTTTTCTTCAATTTCTGTTTTAATATTCATAGCTGAAACCACAATAGAGTCCGGACAGTCAAACAGTTCAATTAGTCGCAATGTTGGAATATCCACAAAGCTAGGAGGTATTTCCTTGAAGTAGTAACAACTTCTTAGAACTAGCTTCTCAAGCATGGGAAAAGATGCATCTGAAGCACTCCATACTACCATCTTCACGGCGGATAGTGACAAGTATTTGAGTGCAGGGAACTCGACATTTCTCACGTCCCAACAGTACTCTACATTCCCCAAAGGAAATCCAATCTCTAATTTGAGACTCTCAAGCTTCTGCAATCTTGCAATGTTTGAAACCATTTCTTCCGTCAAGAAACAACCGCCAATGCACAAATGCCTGAGATTTGACGGCAAGACAAAGTAGCTCTCCCATCCAACTGAATTCCAGAATCCCTTAGGGGTTACAACCAGATCAAGAGATTGAAGGTGAGCATGAACTTCCGGTATGGGAAACAAAGGACAACTAGGTACATCAGCAATAATGCGGAGGCTGAGTTCTTCAAGATTGGGGAACCTCCACCAGGACCTTGGATTTTTCTCATCCAGACGTATACGACAAGAGAGGAAGGTCTTCAAGTTCTCTAGCATAGTTGTTGAAGATTCTTCAAAAATTGCTCGATCATTGTCTTCCCATACACTGGTCAATCTGTCTATATTCACATGCCTTAGCTTCATCATTTTCAAGATAGCTACCGGCGATGTCCTTAGAAACTGAACTGAATCAACCACTAGAGTCTGAAGCTCCTGTAGATGTGATATCCACTTGAAATCAAATTCTTCGACAAAAATCTCAAGGTACCTCAAGTGAGTTAGCGATTGTACTGCTGTAGCCCAAGAACTTGGCAACTCCACTTTCATCAAATTCAACACCCGAACAAGTCTTAGTTTAACAAGTAAAGGTAAAGGATTTGATCTGTTCCATGTGTTGAAATTTGGATGAGCAATGAACTCCAAAGACCTAGGACATTCACCTAAACACTTTGTGTACTTGGACTCGAGCATTGGAATCTTATCCAACATATATTCAGAATGATCTAATTGATTAACAAGATCATCATGAATATAAATGCATAACCGTGATTCTTGGGGATACAAATGTTGATCATATGGATTGTATGGCACTGTGAGCTGCATAAACTTTTCTTCTGTAAGTTTTCTCAAGCAAAATTCACGCACTACATCATGAAGTGTGCAGCATTCTAAATGGTCTTCTGGAAACAATCCCATGTAAAGAAGGCAAGGCTTTAAGTGGTCTTCTAAATGCTCATAACTTGATTGCATTACCTTCATGCTCTGCTCTCCTAAAACATGAGAACTTAAGTCATTGGCAAACTCCAGCCACAAGTATGCCTCCCTTTCTGTTTTCAGTATAATTCCAGCAATCAGCACAATGACAAGAGGCAATCCCCTACAATGTTCGGCAACATTTAACCCTGCTTTGTTAGTTGTTTGCCATAATTTTCTTACTATATTTGGTTTTCCTATCTCTTGAAGGAAAAGGGCAATATAATTACCTTAATTAGGTTTTCCTTTTTGTAAAAGGAAATTATAAATTCTTCCATATTTGGCTAGTCCCTTTTCTGGTAGGAAAAGGTTTGGAGTTCTATAAATTGAAGATCCGTCCTCTCATTCAGTAGCATCCACAATGTAGCCATAGGGTGCTTGAGAGTCTTGTTTAGGGAGAGAACTCTATGGGACAAGTGTTAGTGTGTCACTTGTGTTTGCCTCTTAGTGAAGTTGTTCTCTCGATATTTTATACTCTCTTTTTATATAGTGGATTGCTCATCTCCGTCGTGGATGTAGGTTAGTTGACCGAACCACGTTAAATGTTTGTGTCTCTTTTGGTAGGTTTCTCCTTTTGTTGTTGGATTTATCGTCACTCAAAGTTTGCTTTACTAGCTTCCGCATGACACCTGACTTTTTCCCATAGATCCAAGGGACAACTCTCTCCTTGAAACACTCTTTCTGCAATAATTCTCAACTCTCTTCCAGTGTTAGAAATCTAAGAGAATAAGGATCACTGTGGTGTTGAAGATGCTTAGCCACTTCTTCAATTCGAGTTGTTACCATTACTCTACTTCCATATTCACCTTTAGGGAAACATAATCCTAGGTCTTCCCACGCCTCAACTTTCCATATATCATCTAAGACAATGAGGTATCTCCTGCCTTTTAGAGTCTTCTGCAACTTGTCAGCTATGTCGAAGTCCTCTTTGATTTTCCACTCCTTATTTGTAGCTTGTTCAAGAATATCAACCAACAATGTCCTCATGTTATATGTTTGTGAAGCAGTACACCATGCTTTAACATCAAAGTGATTAATAATAGAGGTATTGTTGTACACTTTCCTTGCCAATGTTGTTTTACCAAGTCCGGCCATTCCAAAGATTGAGATAACGTCGAGCTCCTTTGATCCTCCAGTCAATTTCTTCATTATATACTCTGCATCTTTCGCAAAACCCACAACTTCATCATCAATTGATGGAAAACTACGTTGGGTAGAAGCTCTGCAGGAGCTTGAGATCTTTTTTCACAAGTCTCAACAACCTCCATGTCAATTGGCTTGCTGTCTTTCACGATTGCCTTTGAGTTAATAGCTCTGTCAGCTTCAAGCCTTCAGTAAAAAGCAATGAAACAAGATCAACAATCTTTCATAATTTAGAGAAAAACCCAAATTACATATAAAATGAAAAGTAGTGCTACATGTAAAGTCTTTTGTGTCTAAGTTAAAGGCCACCAAGATATAATCAAGAAGAATAAAACCTTGAACTCTATTGGATGGTTTCAGTTACTGGATTATTCCAGGTCCCCAAAATTCGTGATGTATTTCAAATTTTTTGCTATGCAAGAAATTCAATGCAAATACATACAAAGTAATGCTCTTTCAGCAGAAATTAAATGCAGCTTCTTCTTTAGTGCTGATAATATTATAACAGAAATTAGATGCAGTTACTAGGAAAGATCCAAAATTAATTTTGTTAGATTTAGTTAAAAGATTCCATGGTCATTTTGAGTATGATTTGCAAGGTTTATGCCCTTCCTGTTAACAAAAATGACTTAAGTTCAGAAAAAACTTTCTGATATTATCCTTTTTCGCCCAGCTTACTAACCATTGTTTAAGATCTGGTGGGTGAACTCTGGAAAGAAAAGAATTAAACTCATAATAACAGCAATAAAGAAGACAAAATATGAAATATGCTACAAAAGACCAAAAGAGAAATTTCAAAGTAATCTCACCTTTCGTTAGATTGAGAATGGAAACAGAGAGATAAATTGGTACAAGGTTGCTTATTTTGATGGTTTTGGGCTACAGAAATCAACAACAAGAATCGGATGGGAAATGGTGGACTTCACGTTGAAGAATGAAGAGTGATATAAGTAGTATATATAGAGAGGGCGTTTGTGTAACCGGGTCAAACTAGTTTATAAGCACTTTTTGACTTATATACGCGTTTGTTAAAGATAAAAGTGCTCATAAGCCAAGTGTTTATAAGTCAAAAATAAGCCAAAGTCATAAGCTGGTCATCTTATGAAATTAGCTTATAAGCACTTTAAGTTTGATCAATTTTTTAATTATTTTATCCTTAAAATTTTATTTTTTTTTTGGGAACAAATCTATACTAAGTGCATCAAGTATTATTTCAAAAAGTATTATACATGTCGTGTCATATCAACAATTTATGCTCAATAGACACAATTTGCTTCGAGTTCGGTACTTAATGGGTACAATTTTTCAGTTAAGTTATCTAAATAAAAAATTCGGACAAATTTAAGAGGCGGTCTAGCTTCAGCTAATAAAGAACTTCTCACATCTCTCATGTTGGTCAACTGATATGTAAAAAAGAAAACTAAATTAACTTGAAATAGCCTCCACAAAATGGTTTTTCACTTGCAAAATTTTTATGGGTGCCAACGGCTGGTTTAGAGTTAATAAATTGTTGGTGGTGCTTGAATAATAAAATTATGGTAAAACTTGGTTTTAAGCAATAATTTAGAATAATTCTCAACTTAAAAATAATCTATTCTAGATCTACATTTAAGAAAAGATAGAACTTGAATGTGTATACTCAACCACATGAATCATATCATTATATAGTTGACCTTGAGTACTACTCCCTCCGTATCATATTATCAATTGTAGCTACTAAAAATAATTGTCTTAAATTATTTGTCATTTTAGAAGTTCAAGACAATATTAATTATTTTATTTTTTTTTGTTTTACCCTTAGTAATAATTGTTCTTGAAGATGAAGATAACACATAAATAGAATAAATATTCAATGAAGAGAGATTTTATTTTAAGACATAAATAAGAGTAAAATAATCTAATCTCTTTCCTAATTAATGTTTCTTAAGAGGCGTGTAAAAGAGAAACATGACAGATAATTTGAGACAGAGGGATTATAATTTAGGCCATTAGAGAAAAAATTAAAATTGCTCCTTATGTTTGGGGATTAACTGAAATAGTCCCTATTTTATGAGATGAGCAATAATAGTCCCTATAGTATGCAAAAGTAGCGCATATTTGGTCTAATACAATAAAACTGAGTAAAAATCAGGGGAAAAGTGCATGTTAGCGTTGCAGATGTCAAAACATTTATTTTGGCAAATAGATGTGGTATTCCGGTTGAATTCTGTGTGAGGAAATAATAAAGATGGTAAATTGTATCATAATTTATAATAGAAAAAATTATATCGTGTAGCTAACTTACCCTGTAGCTTAACTTAGCGCGCCTCTTTTGATACCTTAACACATAAAAAAATAATTAAAAAACCCCTTGAACGATCACTTTAAATCGGGTTTTTTTTTCTGTGTGGGGGGGATTTGGTGGGTTGGTGGGGTGTGTGTGGGGAGGGGGGGGGGGCGGGCAAAGTGGCACTCAACTGATATGATGAGACAGAACATCTTTGCTAATAAAGAATGATTTAGCAAATTACAAATAAAGGAAAATATAATAACTTTCTTCGTTTAATTTTATGTGAAGGTGTTTAACTAGTTACGGTATTTAAGAAGAAGGCGTAATAGTTTCTGGGCCACTTAAACTTGCATCGGATTTTAAAGCCGATACATAAATTTTCGATTTTTCTATTTTAGGACCCCAACTCGATTAAAATACTTAGAATAAACCCCTCCCTTAGAGCGTGTATCTCAATTGTCTGACATGAATACTATGTCAGATGCTAAGATCATTTATTATTTGATATTTGCAATATCTGGGTCCCATCCTTTTTAAAACCAATTTACCAAATTTTTAATTTTTGTTCTCTTTCCTTTCTTCTCTGTCATAGCTCCACCAAAACCTTCCCTTACCCGGCCACTATTTCCAATAGTAAAAATTCAAATATGATCAATTCATATCCTAATACGTACCTTAACCAAAGCTCAGTCTAGAAATTAGTCCAAACAAACCATCACATCTTCTCAAAAAATATCAAAACCATTCCGACAAGATTTTCATAGGAAAAAATAGCATCTCGGTGACATTCGTCAAAATCAAAACTAACAGACCTCCTTGAGAACCTATTACTTCCCACCCCTAAAAGTTTTCAGTAATTTCGTAGTCTCAACTGGCCAAAGAAATCACCGGAAACACTGTGACCACCATACTTTGGGGAGAACGAGAAGAAATTGCGGGGAGAACGAGAAGAAATTGGGGAAGAAAGAAATTGGGTGGGGGGAACGGGGAGAAATTGTGGGGAGAAAGAAATTGGGGGGTGGGGAGTGGGTGGGGGAGGGGGGGTTGTAGGAAGAAGATAACAGAGGGTTTACGGGAGGGATGATTTTCGATTTAGGATGTTTTTATTTTTTTTATTTTTTTTCTTTTACTTACTTTTCCTTTTTCTTATTCAGATTTAATATTTTTAAATACAGTAATTCGAATCACACTCTTTTTCTACGTGATTAGCACGCACTTTGACCACGTCAGTTATGCTACTGCCACATAAACATAGTCAACATCGATTTCACCATTTTAACACCTCACCATTTCGACACTTACAAGTACAATAGAAGGAATAGAAAAGTCACTCTCAAAATGATATTACTTAGTTCCTTCTTTTACATCGACTTTGGTTAATTTTATACTAACAAATAATCATCACTGTAAACCTGTCAAAACTAGTTAACAGATTCTATGTAATTTTAACAAAATTTAACATTTGAAGTTAGGAGAATATAATATGTGACATTAACTTCCTAATATAAATTTTAGACAGACTTGCATTCAACTTGGAATGATTTGCTTCAGCACAGAAATAGCTTCTTGTCAGTGACAACATTGGTTCAACTATACTATTTCTGATCCATCCTCTGAATAAATTACAAAAGAATTAGTTCCCCTCTACAACACTATCCACAACAAACTACTAAGATTAAGTTTTCGAGATATTAAAGAAGAAATGGATTTACATTTATAAACAGACATTTAACTAGGAACAAGCAAATTCCTCAAACTTTACAAAGCTAATTTCCCACCCGAAAAGGTACAATGTCACTTACTCGATAACGAGCATTACCTTCAAGGTTTCAGAACGTCTTCCTCGGAGGAAATGGAAGAACCTTTACTCCTGAAATGGACAATAGATATATCTCCTCTCGTAGGCCCTGTACAAATGTGGATTTCATGTGAAGAATTACTGAAATTACATGAGAATCCTTCCACAAGAAGAGAGGGAATTAGTTGTTTCTGGTCCTCGTCTTGTCTTGACGCGCTTTCCTAACTGCTTCTTGAATTTGTCTCTCATGTTCCTTTAACATGTCCTCCATACTTCCCCCTGCTGGCACTAGTAGTCCAGATAGGATTCTTCTACTTCTCTTTGGCACATAAACCTGAAACAAGGTGGCAAGACAAACACAAGAAAGCTCAAAAAAAGGAGGAAATGCTCAAAATATCCAAAAAGCACATGCAAAAACAAGAAGTTAGTTTTCAAATCAATTTCTGCTACAAAGTGGATCTTGGACAACTTAATCAGTAGTCCTAATGACATCTTATACCTCTGTGTGTGTGTGTTGTGTGGGATCAGTTAATATTTTTTATTTAACTACAGGAAACGATTCAAATAACTCTGGTTTAAAAGCATTGCTAAGATAATAGGCACTTGTTGATCTTAGGATCTCACCGTGGAATCCCCAAAAGATGACCTATCATCTCTCCTTGAACGAATGCCTGAAAACTCTCCTGCAGCTCGAGGCTTGTGAGAACCCTGCCTTAGAAGCTCTGCACCATGTTGGGAAGCGGCGTATGCTCGTTCAGTGATTGCACTTGAATCCTCCTTTACTTTGTTTGACCACGTGTAACCAGCTGTATTAGGATGGATCACTGAATTAGAATGAGTGAGTCCGTTCCTGTATCTCAGTATTGGTGGCTCAAACGAGAAACCAGTTCCACTGTCCTCGAGAGGATTGTATTTCACACTGATGCTTTTGCTAGGCTGTCCCTGCAATTATTTGCATTAGCCATTTGTGAAACAACAGGGATCTTGAGCAAGAAAATTTAAAGATTCAGTAAACGTCTTGGAAAAATCAAACCTGTTTGTGAGCATTGAATTTTGTTGTTAATTCGTCCTTTGATTGTCTCAGTGACTTCTTTGTTGATTCGCCTCCATGTCCTTTTACGGTCTTAGCCTTTCGCCTGGGATTAAGGGGTATAATGAAATTGTGAGACTATATGAAGGAACAGCAAAGTTTGGTTATAAGAAAGTTGCACTTTCTTTGGAGAACATGATAGTAAAAAGTATATAGGCCAAAGCTTGGGAACAAAGTTACATACAACCAGGGGCGGAGCTAGCATGCGGGATACGGGTTCAGGCGAACCCAGTAGATTTAATCCAAACCTTGTATTTATCGTAAGAAGTCTATTAAATATGTACGAATTATCATTTATAACCCAGTAACTTAAACGGAATACAATCCCGAACCCATAAACTTTATATTCTGGCTCCGCCTCTGCATACTACAACAACAACAACAAACCCAGTATTTTGGTCATAGTAGGAATCAGTACTTAAACCCCTGAAGGCTTGTTTTCTCTGCACTTTCTGTTGGTAGAGTTGTTTAATATATATTACTCCTACTTAGTCATTTCATACTCCAGGCAGTGCGAGAAAGAGCCATTTCTAATGAAGAAGGTTGGATTTGGAAGCATAACTGAGCCGTAAAAATGCATAGATGCAACTAATATGGTATACCTTCTTGCTTCGTGATCTCGAACCTTAGCATCATATTCCTTGCTTGGAGGATATTTTGGTAGAGTATATGGATCACAAGGTAGGGGCTTTGTTTTGAAGAACTGAAAAGTGAAACCAAAGAAAAAAGATGTAAAGCGTTTCTATTGGTAGTGAAATTTGTAGGAGACCAGCAACTTATTTTAATAGATAAATAT